ATTGAATGTCAAAATACAAATAACAATGTTAACTCTACCACCGGTTCCAAAAAAAGCCACAGTCCTGAGAAGAACCGGCGAAACAAACTCAGCGGGCTTTTTTTTTTTGTTTTTTCTCAAATATTTTCTTTTTTTTAAATAAATAAAAATATTTACAATAAAAGAAAAAACAAATTACAATTAAAAAAAAAAAAATGAAAAATGAAAAGGCCAGGAGCGAGCGCCTCATTCCCACGTAGTGCCATCTAGTAAATAATCCTTATCTTTATAATATGCCCTGTTGCACAAACGTTCCTTAACAGTTTTCTTAAATCTATGAACAGGTAGTAATTGAACGTTTAGTGGGATCTTGTTGAAAAGCTGTACACCCAGCCCCCTAAAAGAGTTGCTTATTTTCTTAATTCGAGCCGCCGGCAACGCAAGCCTATGTTTGTTCCTAGTGTTCAAATTGTGCAAATCGCAGACTCTGGGGAATTCTTCAATGTTTTTACGCACGTACAATAAATTTTCAAATAATTTAATAACTAAAATATATTATTAAAAGGAGTCCCTTTAGGCAAGGTTCCGAAGATACTGGCAGCATTCTCCCTTTGAATAGCTAAATATATTTTGTATGTGCGTACGAAATATGAAGTTGCATCCATGTTACTCTCGAACCTTCTCGTAGCCGTTTCTATATTTCGTGACTCATCTGTCATGTTACGATAAACGAAATGAACGAAAAAAATACAACCATTACTTTGTAATTTGATATGGCTTTGATACTTGTTTATGATTATAATTGACGATTATGTTTTATTCTTATTGGGAAACCGCTGACGGACGTGTGGCTTTCCGTCAATGTCTTTTCTGTGAATGTTTAGGCTACCTATGTTGCACAGGAGAATACTTTATCCCAAGACTGCTGTGCTGCGATTATTAATTTATAAAAATAATAGTTTAAATAAACTAACAAAATACGCTTTTATAGAAAATCCAACTAAAAAATAGAAAATAAATCTTAATAAATTTGAATTAAAAATAGTGTAAGAAAAAATGATTATATTGTAAAAAAAAGCGTGGAGTGCTTTTCAGGATATTATCAAAATAACCCTTCTACTCATATCTGTTCATAAAATATTTATAGCTACTGATACCCATGCTATTTTATAGTTGGATTTTTATAAGTTGAATTTCAATATTTTCAAAATTTTTTCCATTTTTTTTAATGTTGAATTGTCATCGGTCCTTAATAAGTATACCAAATTTCGAGTTAATCCGACGGTTCGAAGGGGGTCAAAATCATGTTCGAAGATTCCGTTACATATTAACATACTAACATACATATGTCTGAAGCTAATAAAAGCGTATTAATAATGGCGCTACTGCCTTTTGTGAGCCTAATCCAATTTTACTCCTAAAACCTCTGCTTAGAGACAAAGTCAATTTCAAAGCTTGTGTCTCTTACGTCCCTAGCTAATCACGTGATCTAATATAGATATGTCGGCGCAAAGTCACTATTTAGTTAACCAAAAATAGTTAAAGTTAACTGTTTAATTAATGTTACGCATGTCAACAATTGTTTAAGACGGTATTCAAGAGAATTCATTAAACCAGCAATCTCCGTCAGATATAATCTAGGGTCTTCCAAATGACTTTGACTGACTCGGTGGTGAAGTAGTTAAAGCTTCTGAGTGTCACGCCGCGGGTTGTGGATTCGATTCCCACAACAGTTAAAGACACGTATCCACATTCTTTTGACCACACCACAAGCACCGGTCACCGTCCTCGTCGAACCCGTCGCTTGCGACGAAGGGCTCGACGAGCGAACTAACCCATAGACACGGCCCACTGAGTTTCTCGCCGGATCTTCTCAGTGGGCCGCGTTTCCGATCCGGTTGTAGATTCTGCGAAGCACTGCTCTTGCTAGGGTCAGTGTTAGCAACTCTCCGGTTGAGCCCCGCGAGCTCACCTACACGCTAGGGTAACGCTGATATAGCCTCTCATGGCTATCAGCAAAGGTAGGACAAGAAGAAGCAAAAAAAAAAAGCGGTCTATAAAACGAATACCACATCCATTTCTTCCAAGCTCCACGGATCGGTACAGTCGCGTACTGAACTACATCAAACTGTCAATTAGGGTTTTAGATTAACATCTTTATGCGTCACCGTGGCTTCGGCTTTTTTGACTTTGATAATTTACGTTCACAATTTTGCGGCTCGGCGAATATGTGGATGTGTTTTTTTTTTCTTTCACAACATTGTGTCGTTAACGTTACTAAATATAAATTTATGGGGCTTATTTTTTTTTTTGGTTTATTAGCACGGGAATGACTAACATGTTAGAATATGTCTTTGGTTTTTTGACGTGATATCGTCTTATAATTCGATGGAGCCGGCTGCACGCACGAAAAAACATGACTCATGCGGCGTTACCCCGCTCTGAGGCGTTCCATTTAAGGCTTGAAGTGCAAGCGAGAGCGCGCAACGAGCGACAAATAGACACAATCGGCCTCCGCGTTCGGCAGCGTTCGACATCTGTCTCTCTCCGACTTGAGTGAGCGATGCATCCGCGTGGACAGCTGTTATACAATAATACATTGACATGTTTTCGTCAAGTATGAAGTTCAGTGAAAAGTGAATGTGGTGAAAACCGATTTTTTTCAGTTACATTATTAGGACATGTTTAAGAGAATCGTAATTGATTGAGAAAATCCTGCGAGATCCTCAGCGGGTTCTGCCCAACAATTAACAACAAAAAGATAGTTTTAGTTAATAAGGCAAACGATTCTCAAATTATGCATTGTAATAACGACTTTGATTCATTCAAAATAGAGCACACTTTGCAATATAAGTTAGAAAAACGATCACAGTATTTAATGCAGGAAATAAAAAAAAACATCAAACTTAAGCCGTCATTACTGATCGATAAAATAACATCATAATTCCATCATAAAAAAGAAAGAGATAGCTCGAACAGTGCGACGAGTGAAAGAGAGGGGTGCACGAGGAATGTGCAAGTCATACAAATAATATTTAATCCTGTAATGACACGTCAATCATGAGGTATCGAGATGAGCCGATATATTTTACACCTGCTCAGGGTACAGGCATGGTGGAAAATACCCGGAAATTGGTTAAAATGATAACCGGTTTTTTAAGTCATTTTTCACTAAGGCTCGAGAAACAAGTCAGTGACTGATTCACTCAATAAATAAGTAAATAGCTGTTAACAAATCACGCACGATCGGACGGAAGATCGGAGAATCGGAAAGGAAATCAAGTCTTAATTTAATATGGCTGCAGTATGTTCGTCCACACACACTTTACATTGTAAGTATGTACTTATGTATGTACTTTACAATGTTCGAAGTTGTCGTGGCCCAAAGGATAAGGCGTCCGGTGCATTCATATCTAGCGATGCACCGGCGTTCGAATCCCGCAGGCGGGTACCAATTTTTCTAATGAAATACGTACTTAACAAACGTTCACGACTGACTTCCACGGTGAAGGAATAACATCGTGTAATAAAAATCAAACTCGCAAAATTATAATTTGCGTAAGTACTGGTGGTAGGACCTCTTGTGAGTCCGCATGGGTAGGTACCACCGCCCTGCCTAATTCTGCCGTGAAGCAGTAATGCGATTCGGTTTGAAGGGTGGGGCAGCCGCTGTAACTATACTGAGACCTTAGAACTTATATCTCAAGGTGGATGGCGTATTTACGTTGTAGATGTCTATGGGCTGCAGTAACCACTTAATACCAGGTGGGTTGTGAGCTCGTCCACCCATCTAAGCAATAAAATAAATAAATAATATAAGTTAGATAAATGACCACACATTATTTAATGCAGGTCCATATGATTCCCATATGATAGTCACCTATGATTATTATCCAACATTTCTATATTTTTTTTTAAGTTATTTCTTACACGAACGAGCTAACGGATGTCTGATGTTAAGTGTTAAGGAACATATAGACATCAACGACGATTAGGCCAAAAAAAATTATAAGTTTTGGACACCCTGTATATGATGTGCAATTTCGAATTTTACGCTAAGATCGGTAAAGAGGAGCAAAGCTCGTTTCACGAGCACAAAAAGCACACAACTAAAACGCNTTTTTTTAAGTTATTTCTTACACGAACGAGCTAACGGATGTCTGATGTTAAGTGTTAAGGAACATATAGACATCAACGACGATTAGGCCAAAAAAAATTATAAGTTTTGGACACCCTGTATATGATGTGCAATTTCGAATTTTACGCTAAGATCGGTAAAGAGGAGCAAAGCTCGTTTCACGAGCACAAAAAGCACACAACTAAAACGCGAAACAGCAAGACCGTATCTGAAGTACTAGAAAAGCCGGGAGCTTTGCAACTTCGTAAGTAGCTTTAGTGGGATAAACCGGCTTACTATTTGAACACAAGTTCCAGATCTCGGTGCTAGGTTGAGACTTGAACTTTTTCTAAGCTCGAAAAGCTCTAAAAATAGCCCCCCGAAACACTTACTTGGTTAAGGAACATATTCACACACATGAGAAATGCGACTTAGGGTGGAGGAGCCTAACCGATATTAACCCATTAAACAAAACGACCATAAGTTTAAATCACTAGTGGCCTACCTTTTGTGTGTGGATGGTGATACGACAAATTTCCCTTTTTATTGGCTAGATACAGAGATCCGGTCTACTTTCCTGAAGCAATAACAGGTTCCAGTTTGAAGGGTGAATCTTCGAACTCACATTTCAAATTAAATAGAGCTGTAATATCTACTGATTCCGGTGCCCGCTTCGCAGCAGATGAGACGCGAACTAGTTCACCCATGGAGGCGATTAACAAAAAAAAAACGACACTAACATTTTATTTAACGCTCATACTAATACACAATTAAAACATCACTACTATTATTCTTTCCGACTTTACGAATACAGTTTTCGTGGGCACGTATGACTCTCCAAAGACGCATCATCACCAATCAAATACTTAATGCTAAGAAAGAAAAAGCATTAGAAAAAACTTACGATTCACGTCTATTGATATATTCTCCGAGACGGGTGATATTAGGGGATCAGTTACTGCCTGTAAAGATAAAAAAAATGTTTTTATTATTATTAATAAATATTATTCATAATTTACTGGTGGTAGGACGTCTTGTGAGTCCGCACGGGTAGGTACAACCACCTTGCTTATTTCTGCCGTTAAGAAATAATGCGTTTCGGTTCGAAGGATGGGGCAGCCATTTTACTTTAAAAACTGAGATATTAGAATTCATATCTCAAGGTGCGTGGCGGCATTTGCGTTGTAGATGTCTATGGGCTCCGGTAACCACTTAACACCAGGTGGGCCAGGAGCTCGGCCACCCATTAAGCAATAAAAAAATTAATGATATAAATTGCCAACGATTCAGCCGAGTAGTGTGAATTTTTTGGTTTTTTATTAGTGGAAGTGGACAATAACAATGACATTAATATCACCGTACACTTTGCGACATGAGTTCTAAGTCTCAGCTTTCTAGAGCAATGGCTGCTCCATCCTTCAAACCGAAACGCATTACTGCTTCATGGCGGAAATAGGCAGGGCGGTGGTATCTACTATAGCGTGCTGGCTATAGGTAGACCCCTTCATAATGAAACGCCCAGAGGACCTATTCATACGCAAATAAAAACGTAAAACCGGAGTAGAGTTCATCCATACTACCTGGAGCCATTGCTTTCATCCACAGTGTGCTTCCAGAGATCTTTTTTGCCACGTACCATCCGGCTTTGGAATGAGTTCCCCTCTACGATGTTTCCAGAGTGCTATGATATGTCCTTCTTCAAACGAGGCTTGTGGAGAGTACTTAACGGTAGGCAGGCAGGTTGGCTCTGCCCTTGGCCTTGTTGACGTCCATGGGCGATGGTAGCCACCATCACCGTCTGCCTANCATCCACAGTGTGCTTCCAGAGATCTTTTTTGCCACGTACCATCCGGCTTTGGAATGAGTTCCCCTCTACGATGTTTCCAGAGTGCTATGATATGTCCTTCTTCAAACGAGGCTTGTGGAGAGTACTTAACGGTAGGCAGGCAGGTTGGCTCTGCCCTTGGCCTTGTTGACGTCCATGGGCGATGGTAGCCACCATCACCGTCTGCCTACAAGTGCAATTAAAAAATATTTACCTGACACATGACGTCGGTGCCGTAGTCCGACCTTTGAACCCTGAAGGAGACAGTAGCTCTCGCTTCGGAGTTCGCGAGGAGTGCGTGCGCTTTCCACCACGAGACTCGTGCGATCGGTCGACCTGTGTCGAAAAAATGATGAAGTTTATTGGTCAATGAACTCTTTTGCTTAGATGGGTAGACGAGCTCACAGCCCACCTGGTGTTAAGTGGTTACTGGAGCCCATAGATATCTACAACGTAAATGCACCACTCACCTTGAGATATAAGTTCTTAAGTCTCAGTATAGTTACAACGGCTACCCCACCCTTCAAACCGAAACGCATTACTGCTTCACGGCAGAAATAGGCGGGGTGGTGGTACCTACCCGTGCGGACTCACAAGAGGTCCTACCACCAGTAGACTCTCCATAGAGCTCTTCAATTTATGTATAGTATAGTAGTATAGTATTTACGGATAGTCAGCCTTCAATTTGAGTCAAACTTGTGTCAATTCGTTCATCATCATTCTCCTGCCCTTTTCCTAGCCACCTGGAGTTGACGCAACATGTCTTCCCCTTCCATACTCCTCTATCATATACAATTTCTTCGCTCACTCCCCTCTTACACATATCGTCCTACACGCAATCCATCCTTTTCTTCTTAGGTCTACCTCTTCCTCTAATGAGTTAATTCGTTATAATAGAGATATAAATCGTCCAGTCATCTAAGAAAATCTTAGCTTAGATTAGATTAGTGTAGGAGATCACAGTCCACCTGATGTTAAGAAGTTACTGGAATCGAACGACGTCAATGCCGTCACAACCCACCTTCACACCATCAAGCATTACTGCTTCGCGGCAGAAACAGACAGGGTGAAAAAAATATACAATAATAATAAAAAACAATTACATAGTAACAAATATGGTATAAAAAAAATAAAAAATACAATACTAGCTGACCCGGCAGACTTGCCTCAATCTATAAATAAAAGACCTAAACTTTTGTACAAAAATAAACTTAAAACAAACAAAAGGAACCTGTCCGACAGGGGGGGGGGGGACATCAAAGGAAAAACAAAATTGTTATTTTTATTTAATCCCTTGGATTTTCATATTTATCTACCTTTTAAACCTTCTCTGGACTTCCGCAAATAATTCAAGACCAAAATTAGCCAAATCGGTCCAGCCGTTCTCGAGTTTTAGCGAGACTAACGAACAGCAATTCATTTTTATATATATGTATATATAACAATATAAAAAATGTGAGCCGTCACGGGACGCCTGGCAGATGTAAAACATCGACATTATTTTGTAAAAGTAATATGCAGAAAAGAACAGATTGTGATAGGAACTAAATATATTATAATAATAAAATAAAATATGTATTACGAAAAAATAATTTGTTTTCAAGTAAAACACAGGTTATGTGTACTGTAGTAAACAACACTGTATACACTACGGAGAATACACTATAGGTATCCGAGCTCAGTGTAGCGAGAGAGATGGCTTAACGCCGGATCGAGTGGGAGAGAATCGCACAGTCGATTGCGCATGGCGACGCGTCGCCACGGCATGCGTCGCCACGCCAGAAAACGGTTTTACGCGCGGCTATAGATGTTCCACATCAACAATATTTGGGAGTTACGAAAAAAAAAAAGATATTAAATCCGGTATTCATATATGTTTCGTGTAACGCTTCTCATAACAACACCAACAACAACAACAACATTTACAAATTACATTACATAAAAAAATATACACGAAACGGACAACGTTGAACGCGAGAATTAATTAAATGAAAACAAATCAAATATTCTCACTAAAGCGATGTAAAACGTCCAACGTAAATACCGCGAACCGAAAATGGCGTTTTATACAATATCTAGTACAGCGGCGAGGAGCCGATGCGAACAAAACACGAAAAAAAAGTGTAAAACAAAAGCTCGACCGGCGTCGACCCTTGTCAAGTGAAGCCGCCGTCCGCGGCCCAAGTCATAAGCGACGGGAGTTTCCAAACTTATAAATATAATCGCTTTTGCACGCGACTTCGTCCGCGTCGAATACTTCACATAGTATATAATGCTTTATTTTAGAACAATTTTGGTTATCATAAAAAGCGTTATAGTGAGCTAACCTTAACAAATAGACAAATGCTGTCGCGGACTTTTTTTTAGATCTTTTAAAGGGGAACAATTCTATCATACATAATTTTAGCGAAACTTTAACCGTTTCTGCAGCGCACGCAGCGGAAGCTCTCAAATGTTATTAAAACTCCGATTTTGAAACATTCTTAATTGGTGCTCCGTTTCATCGGTCTTAGCGTGATGTTATATAGCCTATAGCCTTCCTCGAAAAATGGGCTATCTAATACTGAAATAATTTTTCAATTCGGACCAGTAGTTCCTGAGATTAGCGCGTTCAAACAAACAAACTGTTCGGCTTTACAATATTAGTATAGATGTCGGGGTAAACGACTTATTAAAGCCGCTTTCGGACTACGCTATAATATAATAGCATATAGTATATAGCTCATAGTACCACAATATCGCACGCCATACATTGTTATGGACACGTTCACATTGTACTATACTATATATTATTGGCTAAGTATAGGCTGCTGTACTATCTGGCACTGTAGTATAGCGTAGTCTGAAAGCAGCTTATGTCATTGTTTTGATTGTTATTTAAATGATAAAATGTTGTTTTGATAAATAACAAAAAAATGTAGGGTAGACGTTGTAACGCTAGAGTACAAAAAGGCAGCATGTGGATAGAGTGGGGTGAGTTTTGGAATTAATCAAAAGTTTTTATTGCCTTTTATTGCGATAAACGGAGTTCTACCGAATACGAATAATGACGGAAATGCCACTCAGCCATCCCTGGCACCGTCATATATAATATCACACCATTAGAATTGAAGTGTCATGATATAGCCTTTCTAGGCTATCAGCATAGATAGGGAAAAAAAAATTGCCAACCCGCCACAGCTCATGCCTTAAATAAATCACAGCATTCGCGAGAATTCGACATTTTCGCCCAAACACAGACGCGAGAGGGTAGAAACTCTATGACGCATGATAGGGGTTAAACAAGGAATCGACCCCGGGACCTGATTAAATGAGAGCGCCGACAGCAGCCACACACAATGCGTAATTAATTTTCTATATATGGTCTTTGTTGGGAACTCTTTTCCTTCATTGTATTGTGTTTTACTTATGTAATTCACTTATTTTTTTATTTTTTTTTAAAGAGTGAGTTTTGTGTACGCAGCGAGAAACTTTGGGGTGGTTTTGGGATCGTATTTAAAATTTAATTATTCGAAACTGCTTTTTATTGACTTCGTAATTCGACGAGCGTGAGATTGGAACCCGCTGTAAGCTCCTGTGTGCTTTTGTTTTGACTAGCTTTCGATCTGTGAACGAGCTCTCACATCAGCGTGCTTTGTGCGAGTTTTTTATCGTTCTCTATAGCGTAAAAGTTAACTCAAATTTGTGTGGAGTTTGCGTACGTTTGCCGCTAGGGGCGCTGTTCCAACTGCTTATAAATTTGAGTTAACTTTTACGCTATCGAGAACGTTAGAAAACTCGCACTAAGCACACCGCACGCCCTTGTTTGAGGGGCATCGTGGACGCCTTCCGCTTCGGATGGTACGTAAAACAAAATTGGGTAACGCATAGAGATTGAAAGTGTCTGTAGTTCATTACGACTTGACTGTAATAATAACATTGTCAATGCCCACGATCGAGGATCAATGGGGGGGTATAATAAAGGTGATGGCTGTGGTGTCCATCCACCGGTTTGAAGATAGGGGGGTTATTTTAAAACAACTTACCTCCAACGGCTATACAAGTGAGATTGACCTCTGTTCCCTCGTCATAAGGTCCGACAACTCCTCCGTTTACCTCGTTCCCTTCATGGTTCAGAACTATAAGCCGCTCTGGTGGAACTGTTGAGAGATTGGATTTAAAATATAGAAACTTTTTTTTTCAGACGAAGAGTATGTTAACTTATAGAACTTACTTAGAACAGTTAGGTTTAGTCTTGTATTTTTCGTTGGTGATTTAATGAAGTCCACTCTGCATCTATATTGACCGCTGTCTTCTGGCCTGATAACAGAAAAAAATAGACCTTAAAGCAACGCGTTAGAGTTGATTATTTTTGTATATGACTAGTGAACCTGTCACAGTTTCCAAATGTTGATTTTGATTTGTAGATAGATAAGATTCTTCTTTCGCTGTGTCAACGATCACCGTTCTCGTCGAAGGGTTCAATGTAAATTTTAGCTCATAGACACAGCCGACTGTGCTTCTCAGTGAGTCGCGATTCCGATTCGGTAGTAGATTCGGCGTAGCACTGATTTTGCTAGGGTGAGTGTTAGCAATACTCCGGTCTCTGGTCCGGAATGTCCATGAATTAGTATTGTCAGAACAAGCTTCATCGATTGTGGATTCAGTAATGTATTTGTTTTCGCTGGATCTTCTCAGTGGGTTGCGTTTTCGATCAGGTGGTAGATTCTGCGAAGCACTGCTTTTGCTAGGGCCAGTATTAGCAACATCTCCGGTTTGAACCCCGACAGCTCACCTACAGGCTAGAGCAAAGCTGATATAGCCTCTCAAGGCTAGGGCCAGTATTAGCAAGTTCTCCCAGTTTAATTGCCGTGAATTCACCTACCGACTAGATCGACTATCTATTTGTGTGGGTCCCATTCTGAGAAACGCTAAAATTTGTCGGGACCTCTTTTCACCTCATCGAAAACTCTAAAACCAATTACAAAGTTCATCCGAACATACGATGGGTTAATAAAAACGTTGTCAAGACACATTAATCACATTTACCGACCTGTTTCAAAAGCATCAATCGTAATTTGACCCCCATTTGTCATGCTCCTTTTATATTATTCAATCGGTTGTCTTCTATTTCGAAAACAACAAAGGATTGGTAAGACGATATTTTCAACGAATCGCTTCTGATTTATCGTTAACAACAAATTGATTTAGAATTATATTAGTTTTACTAAACTCGACCTAGATAACGGGCTTTTGAGGCGAAAAACTTAGTACGTGCGATCTCAACTCCATTAAAAATGACTTCCACGCTGAAGTATTAGCGCCGTGTAATCGAACTGGCTAAATTTATTAGTTTGAATTATTGTGCTTTTTACACGCTTTATATTAGCTTCACATCTATGTATGTTTGTATGTTTGTAACTGACTTCTTTAGACGCGATTTTGACCCACTTTAAACGGCCAGATTTCATTCAAACTTTGTAGAATTATCGAGGACCGATGACAATACACTAATTTGATAAGATTATTCCATTATTCAATTTGCAAAATAAGATTTTTGCCAATTTGTATAATTTTTATCTATAGTCGATAAGGCAGGAATTGATGTTAAAGTACTTAATAGTTTTAAAAATACGCTTTTATAGAAAATTTTACCAAAAAAAAGAAAGATAAATAATAGTTTAAAAAACTAAAAAACACGCTTTATGTAAAATTCAACTAAATAATAGAAAATAAATTTAAATTGAAAATAGTGTAAAATATATTTTATTGTAAAAAAAGCGTGGGGTGCTTTTTAAGATATTAATGAAATAATAATTCTTCTACTCATATCTTTCAGAAAAATATTTATAACTAATAACACCTGGTTTACTGGTGGTAGGACCTCTAGTGAGTCCGCACGGGTTGGTACCACCGCCCACCTATTTCTGCCGTGAAGCAGTAATGCGTTTCGGTTTGAAGGGTAGGGCAGCCGTTGCAACTACACTTGAGACCTTAGAACTTATATCTCTATATACTATTATTTATTGTAAGCAAACACGAGTTACCACCACCATCACCCGGTTTGTGCTTCAAAAGGTCACGCGTCCGATTTTCAGGGTGGGCTTATCGTGGTACCAATTTATCCGACTATGGTAAGTTAAAGAATGTGATGATTATCTTACGTATTTTTTTTTTAATAATAATTATTATATTAGAATATATTGTGTATTAATTGTATGTATATTTACGGATATATGTATGTATTTATGTATGTGTACATATATGTATATGTATTTCATTGGATTGGTAAACCGCGCGTAGTTCGTTTCCAAATGATTCTTGTCCACCTGATGGTTGTCTGGAAGAGATCGCTCTTAGCGATAAGACCGCCAATTGTACTTTTTTGTATTTAATGTATCGCACTGTTTATTTGTTTTTTGGTGTATAGTAAAGAATACTCTCTCTCTCTCTTTCTCTCTCTCTTACCTTAATTTACTAAGAATAAGGACTGCTGGACGAGAGTCGCTTCTGAAGGTGGCTCTCACTCCTAAGGTGGTAGGATCCGACCAATGCGAAGTCACTCCTTCTCTTGTATCGAATCTGTCGACAATAATAAATAAATTTAACTCGTACAGCTTCGAGCCTATAAATAGTTCTTAAAGATCGTTCGTTCTCTTCGCAGTCAATACAGAAAGTTAAAACCATTAAATATTTTAATCGACTTTGACAGAAGATAGATCAAAATTAATTGGACGGTGTTATGCAAGAAACATCAAATCTTTATATTATCTTTATGATTAGCGAATTGATTCTGTATAACTAATTCGGGTGGTTAGATGTAGGTTATTGTGAATCTGCACGGATAGTTCATAGATGCTGGATATATTCTACAGCAGAGTAATTATCAGTTCCGCCTTGAAAGGCAGATCAGTCGTGGTACCAATACGTACAGCTTTTACTTAGAATTTCTTCGTGTTTTATACAGTACCAAAAACACACAATCTAGTTTATCCCAAACACAAAATTACAAATGTTTTTATGTATGTTAAACAAAGATACCGATCGAGAATCTGTAAATGCTTCAATGTTATGAAAACAATGACATAGAGATTTCAATCTGATGACTCAAGGTATATTCTTCTTTTTTTTATTACTTAGATGGGAGGACGAGCTCACAGCCCACCTGGTGCTAAGTGGTTACAGGAGCCCATAAACATCTACAACGTAAATGCCGCCACCCACCTTGAGATATGAGTTCTAAGGTCTCCGTATAGTTACACCGGCGACCCCGCCCTTCAAACCGAAACGCACTACTGTTTCACGGCAGAAATAGGCGGGGTGGTGTTACCTACCTGTGCGGGCTCACAAGAGGTCCTACCACCAGTAATAAATGGTATGACTGGAATGGTATTCACTAAAGTTGTAGATCAAATCGAAGTACGGCAATACATCGAATGGTTTTAAGAATAAATATATATTTTTAAGTTCTATAGCTGTTTATTTCTTTAAATCAAAGCAAGGAAGGAACAACTACAGCTTCGAATTTAGCTTTTATTAAGCACACGAGTATTAACGAGTGGCCGGGTACTTTTACTTAATCATCGACTGATGTCAAATAATGGCACAAAATATCCTATCCATTTCAGCAGGACAAATGACAAAAGTTCTTTAATTTAAGCTCAAATTAATTAATAAACCGAAAATAACTTCAAAGGATGTTTTCGAATCATTAATTTCGTTTCCATTGTTTTATATTGGGGTGGGTTCGCAAGGACTTAATTAAAAATTGAATTAATGTAAAGAAGTGTAAAGCAATTAACTTTTAATCGAATAAAGTGGGGTGACCAAAAAGTGGCGCCCGGGAATAAATTTTTGATCTGAAACATCTAAAGCCGCCCTTATAACTGACTGCTGGCGTGGCGATGCATGCAGTAGTGACGCTTAACCGCGCTCTATAATGGTATACTGGGTGTTAGGCTCAAATCATAGAAACACAGTAACCACAGAAACACAGAACACTGTGTTTCTATGATCTGTGGTGTTAGGAGACCGCTTCCGAAAACGGAGACAGAAAATAGTACTAATACCTTTGAGGATGAGACGGAAAAAAAATCGATCCTGATTTAAAAAAAAATCATATTTTTCCTACCTGTCCTACCACCAGTAAAAATAAGTATGATAGAGTGAATAGAATAAGTATGGCACCAGTAAGTATAATAGAATCTAGACTTTAATATAGTAATGAAATTTACTGTAATAAAATATAATTTTGCATGACTCAGTACTACGTAACACCATCCAATTTTCTTGTCTCGATTTCGAATTAACTCATTGAACGGTCGGCTTTAATAAACATTATTATCTCGCTTAACACATCCTCTACAACCGGTTAGAATATCGACCAATCGAAGGCCACTTTGTGTACAAACACGCCGACAAGACGCGTTAATGATTTCACTTATAATAGGCATAGGTACAATGGGCGCGGTCGAGAATTGATTACATGAAAGTTTGAGTTTTAATCGATCTAAAGAGTTTCGTTTTTTCTACGAAAATCAAACTTATAGTAATACTAGTAGAGATAATACTACTAATACTAGTGATACTAGTAAATCAAACCCGCAAAATTATAATTTGCGTAATCACTGGTGGCAGGACCTCTTGGGAGTCCACACGGGTAGGTACCACCACCCCGCCTATTTCCGCCGTGAAGCAGTAATGCGTTTCGGTTCGAAGGGTGGGGTAGCCGTTGTAACTATACTGAGATCTGAGAACTTATATCTCGAGGTGGGTGGCGCATTTACGTTGTCGATGTCTATGGGCTCCAGTAACCACTTAACACCAGGTGGGCTGTGAGCTCGTCCATCCATCTAAGCAATAAAAAAAATAAAAAGATTACTGTACTGTGGCAAACAAATATAGCTGAAGATCACACAAACAAAGAAACAAAGCACTATGATCTCAGGAATCAGCTAACCAAAAAATACATACGTGGAAATGGAAACGCGAGGTTTACCAGCGAAATCTGTTTATAACTGACTAAAAGACCTGATATTCTCCAAATTCCTCTCTGTCAGGAACACGATGAACCCGACTCCCGCACTCTGAACCCATGGATAGCAAAGATACTCGCCCGTCTTTGTAACCAGAACTCACGACTGACGGGAAATATCCAGAATATCATGAGCTGCCTAACTTTTGGGAATTGCTGAGACCAATAAGCAATGGCGACCACTCATCGTTTCACCTGGGCCGTGCTCTCGTAGTAAAGCAATTAAACAAAAACTCGGCGCTTTCCGGAGTAGAATCATTTTCGAATAAATTTTCTTTTTCTACACATCCCACTAGGTGGGGTTGGCATAGCGCATTTTTCTATTCCAATCCTTCCGGCTTTCCTTCATAGTGATCGGTCATGGCTGGCTTGGACATCACCCAAAACACGTAATTTCGAATCCTCCCGATCCACTAACGGTGCATTTAGGTACCCCAAGCACCGGTCATCGTTCTCATCGAACCCGTCGCTTGCGACGAAGGGCTCGGCGAGTAAATTAAGCCACAGACACAGCCCACTGAGTTTCTCGTCGGATTTTTTCAGTGGGTCGCGATTCCGATCCGGTGGTAGTTTTTGAGAAGCACTGCTCTTGTTAGGGTTAGTGTTACCACGACATCAAGTTTGAGTCCCGTGAGCTCACCTACTTGTAAGGGGTACGCTGAAATAGCCTCTCAAGACTTAGGCTTAAAAAAAGCTTAGGTGGGAGAAGAAAACCTGGCATGAACCGCATGTTTTAGACTTCCATCGCTCTCTTAGTATCGCGTGAGCGGAAACTTATTCTCAGAAGTGAATTGAAATGAATCCTGTAAGTCTTTTTAAGAATTCAAACGGCTACCAAACAAAATTTCGTCAAAATTAAATCAGTGGGTGTGAATAGACAACAGCAGACACAGAGTTATTTTCCTATTTAAAATATTACTATGCATATTCATAGAACAAAATATATGTACATTTATTCCGTGTTAATTATTTAATCAAACGAAGATATACTCGTTATTAATGTTAATATAATTAGTTTGATGATTAAATGTTATTTGATTTGAATTTTAAATTTAAGTGTTATTATGTGCTAGCTGATAACACTGACGTATATGCGCTGACTATCAGGTAACGCACTGGTAAGTACTCCATAATAAATTCTCACCCATTCAAGTATATCCACTTAGTACTAAAAATATATATATTAATCACTCTCCCCTTTTTTTTATCGCACTGTATACGTTAATGAGTTCATGTTCATTTAGTCTCAAGTGGCTACCGAAAGCCATCGCAACACAACGTGAATACCGCCATCCATCTTAAGACGTAAGGTCGAAATTTATTTATTTTGGAATTGCGATTATATAACCCTTCAAATCGAAAGACATGACAAATAGGCAGAATGGTAACTACCCGTGCAGGATCACACTTTTTTTTTTTGCTTAGGTACATGGGTGGACGAGCTCACAGCTCATTTGATGTTTTTATTTTATTTTTTTTATTTTTTATTGCTTAGATGTGTGGACGAGCTCACAGCCCATCTGGTGTTATGTGGTTACTGGAGCCCATAGACATCCACAAAGTAAATGCGCCACCCACCTTGAGATATAAGTTCTAAGGTCTCTGTATAGTTACAACGGCTGCCTCGCCCTTCAAGCCGAAACGCATTACTGCTTCATGGCAGAAATAGGCGGGGTGGTGGAACCTACCCGTGCGGCCTCAGAAGAGGTCCTACCACCACTAAAAAAATTTCCCACCTATTCGCTGGTTAGCCTAAGAGGTTATTCCAACTACGCCCGGACGGTTAGGTGAGCTCATAGGCTCAACCTGCGAGAATTTGCAAACACTGGCCCTAGCAAAAGCAGTGCTTCGCTGAATCTACCACCGGATCGGAATCGTGACTCTCTGAGAAAATCTGGCGAGAAACTCAGTAAGTTTTCCCTGTGTTATGGGTACCAAAGACTGATAAACATACTTATATACGTTTAAATATAGACATATATAGATATTACATGTTAAAGGAGGTCTGAAAGGGGCACCTGTGACCAGAGCTGCTGAGAATTGCGCGTTTGGGATGGTATGGACATGTGATGAGACGAAATGAAAATGAGGTTGGTAAGAGAGTATTAACTATGAATGTGGAAGGATATAGAGGAAGAGGTAGACCTAAAAAGAAGTGGATTGATTGCGTGAAAGACGATAAGGGTAACAGGGGAGTGAGTGAAGAAATGGTATATGATAGAGGAGTATGGAAGGAGAAAACATATTTCGCAGACTCCAGGTGACTGGGAAAAGGGCGGGAGATTGATAATGATGATAGATAATACATAGTAACGCCAAAAGCAAACACCTGTCCTTCACACGAATGTTTGCCCGATGTGGGAATCGAACCCACGACCCTTGGCGTCACAGTCAGAGGCGCTAACTAATGCACCATCAAGTCAGTTTACATCAACATATTATTATAACGAAAACCAAATCGTTGAACAAAAATTTAATATCATAATTAATCTTATGTGAATGCAACATTAAAAACGCAGCTTATAAGAACGAAAGCTCTCCCTCACGA